GCACTTGTTTTAATTACAATCACTAAAGTTACATCATTATATGTTCTGCTACTCAACTGAAACCCAAAGCCTATAACATGTTACTGCATGTATCAAATCACACATAACATACCTGCAGCGTTGCTATAGTTACACATTTGTAAAATAAGGTGAAATTAATCAAAGCGACAAAAACGAAAAACGAAAAAAAAGACTCATAGTTACAAGAAATCTTTCCAAATGAATCCATTGTACAGCTTTGACTATAGCATAAGCGTGTTCTATTGTTTAAAACGCTACCAAATAGTGATGATACATGATTTTCGTGTCTTGTACCGAAACTTATTTCATGGGAAAAAATGTTTAATCAATTTAACACAATGCGACGCGGCTTTCTACCTCCTACGCAAATTTCGATAATCAATAGCGTCAGGTCGTGGATTACAAAACATACGTACAGCTACATTTTCGACATTGAATTTCAACTTAGTTAACGGGATTTCCGACTGTATGAGCTGAACAAAAGCTGGAAGTCCAGATATGATGACTATACAAAAGATGAATACGTTTTCAAATGTGCAAACTTTAAAATATCAATAAAAATCAAAACGTTTTGCGTGATCAATAAGTTGTGTCCCTACATCTCGTATCGCTTTAACTTTCCTATACTTTCTCCCTATTCCTTCCTAATATGTATAGAATTGAAAATGCAGGTATGTAAGTATTAGGGAGCGGGTATTTTAAGTTGGATAAGTTCTCCCCAATCCCTTTACAATTTGCGAATAAAAATTATGTTTAAATCAACAAATGCTGTCATGCCTTAACATATATATACATAACTTAAAAAAACTACTCTTAATGAGTCATTCAGTTGTTATAATTACCATAACAATTCTAAACTATGATGTCATTCATTAACACGTGCTTATGGAAAAGTCGGAATCGTAGAATGGACTGTTCTCATGGAAAGGTTTTGTCGCTTTCATTACAGAGTACACTTCCTTTCCCATGGCGGATTGGGTTATTATTACAAGACAAGACAATTGTTTATTAATGTCTTAGTTCTGTACAGACATGGAAGAAACAACAGTATGCATATGCATAAAATACTCACACAGAACCATTCTCATGAGTTATGAGAGAGTTGTCATAAAATAATACCACAACAGTAACATACCATAAATATTACATATTATCCATATAAAAGATGTTTCTACGATTTAGTATTAAATAGCAGGTTTTTGGCAAATATATAACAGACACTAGCATCAGTTAATAGAAAACAAAACTTCTCAACACGATAATTGATGACCCACAAAATCGATTATACCTAGCTTAATAATGAGATGGCTGATGATGTATATACCTTTGTGTTTCAAAAGTCGTTCATTCAAACAGTCTGAGAATCAATATTTCAACAAAATGATTAAAAAGCTATATTTGTGATGCGTCAGACCAGCGAACCATGACGTGCAACTCATGTATCGATTCGAATTACATGTCAGGAGCTATTAAGATAGCTATCTGTATTTGTGCAAGGGAAAATAAAAACAACATTTTCTGTGACATGACGTTCCCCATAACGATCTTTGCGCTAGATATGGACAGTCTCAACACGTCTCCCGGTCGAAGCTGAGTGCCAGAAAGGAGCTCAACAGACGGTCAAGATCATGATGAGGTTGAGTAATACCCAATCGGAACCTAAAGCTAGTTTCCGTCCATATAATCACAGACATTACTCTAATGATTAATGTTTGGGGAGATCAGCACTGCGAATACTTCCGTCTTTTCCAAACCCCGCAACCAACAATGGGTTTACAAATGACTAGAATGGTTGGCAAGGATCTTACAGGAACCAGTACCAGCTTAGCGAACCCTTTGGTCACCACGCCTTTGCTGGCTTTGTTGGAACCTGACGTTTGCAATATATTTGTGATTGATCCATGCACACAATACAAGTGTGCGTGATCTTGCTCTTCGAACACATGTGTCGTTAATTAAGGCCAAGAATTAAGGCCACAGCCGATTGAGAGATAGTTCTACAAGCTCTTAACACCTCTGTCGTCCCCTGCATATGTTTCATCTCATATTAAACCCCACTCAGATTAGTAACGCCGGAGTTGAACTTCATTTTCGTGATTACTTTAACTCATATACTAATGGTCTCACGGATTCCAAACCTGGATTAGCTCGGCTATTATCGTTAGTTTGTAATCCAGATGGTTTATTATATATCCATGTAAACTTAGGATAGTAATACAGGGGTGCAGTACAGAATTTGACCACGTCATCCGTATTGCACTCCTGTCTTACTATCCTATTATTACTAATATCAGATTCTATATTGAAAACCGCCTCCGTGGTGTAGTGGCTAGAGCGGGTTCGATCCCCGACTGCGTCATACCAAAAGACGTTAAAATATGGTACTTGTTGGTCCCTGCCTGGCGCTCGGCATTAATGGGTACAACAAGGACTGGTCAGCTCGAGAGTCAGTATAATGTGTCTGAGTGGGGTATTCATGCTTCACTGCGGCATGGTATCTCAGTGGGCTAGCAATATAAAACCAGCTTCAGTCTGGGCTAGTACAAGCAGCCGCACAAACACATACACACGCATGCACGTCGTCATATGAGCGAAATATTTTCAAGCAAGACGTTAAACCCAATTCCACAACCACCACCACCACCACTGTATTGAACCTCTGCCGGTTTTACTTTCTCCAAAGCTCCATTAATGCAAGATAAGAGGGTATATAATAAATATAGAACGACATACTAGTGCATTTGGATGTTTTGTATTGAACTCGAAGATGTCATGGGAGCAGAGAAACAACTCGTTTTCAAACTTGTGGTTTCTCTGCTCCTATGACATCTTCTCGTTCAATAACAAAACATCCAAATGCACTAGTATGACGTTCTATATATTCATCACCAGCTTGTCAGATCTGTAAATTTTGGATAAATCGATGGATGTTGGTTTTAATACCAGCAACGCTAGTTACACCAATATCGTCCTTTCGACTTTTTGAGAAAACTAATTGAACTATAGTATATGTGCAACCACATGCATGGTTGAAAAGTCACACGAAATAAGAGCAACAATTATGCTTCCAGCAGGCATTTCTTGTGATTATGGAAACTGGTTTTCACTTGTCATTTCATGTGGAACAAGTTCGGTTTGCGAAACATCGACCTTGGTCTCATTAGTTACATTTTTGAAGAACCACGGGACGTATAGTAAAGCTGCGCAATAGGAGACTTACTTCGCTCAAATTTGATACGAACGTTTTCAACCCTTTGGGAGTCTGTGTGGTGAATGTAACGTTGTCAACACGACTTAAGAGGTTAGACTTGTCAGCAAGCTGACATGGTAACGCTGCCATCACCAGCCCTGTGGCTGTAACTCGGGCCCAACCATAATGGCAATAACTTACTGAGATCTTTTGTGATGATGTGGACCCTTGGGTTCTGTTCACAGACCCGATACATATCTCCGTTTGCGACTTTGCTATATCACCTGGTGTTTGTCTCATACTACATGATATATGTAGGCTCGCCGCGTTGAGGTGGGGAGGTGGAAGAAGTTATAAATCGAGGCTTGCGTTCGTCCGCTTGCGCGTGTGTGCTTGTGTTCTTGTGTGCGTGTGTGCTTGTGTTCTTGTGTGCGTGTGTAGCTGCTTATACTAATCTATAAATACGGTTGAATAGTGCAATATTTTGCTGCAGTAACCAAATATCGAACTCAGATACCCTGAGCTCAACAATCCTGGTTTTATCCCATTGACGCCCAACACCAAACAGGGTAACATAAAGTACCATTTTGTAATGACGCGGTTTCCTTTGGTTTGACGCGGGAATCGAACAGCTGACGTTCTGCTCTCCGGATATTTAATCCATCACACAAGGGCTGAACATACGTTTAGAATTAATACACAAAAACCAATCACACATGCAACTTGCACCATCGATTTTTTCACAGCTGTTCACCTCCGTTTTTGAACTGAAAGTAACAATAACGCTATTCCGTGTTTGAATTTGCGTATACTTGTAATCATCGAACCTTACTCACGTCTACATGTAAAGGAATTCATTTATGGGGCTTTTGGAACTGAGCGTATGCGACAGCTTTCACATAATGTTTGTCAATAGAACGCAATAGAATATATGCACATTGAACCATTCCACTTCCCGACTGTCATTAAACATGGATTTAAATGAATTTGAACGAAAAAAGTATGTGGGCGATTGAATATGATTGTACGTCATTGTATATATATGAAGTATAAAACAGATTTTTGTTGTTGATGATCATTAAATTACCATCCACGGAAATACATTTGGATTCAAAAAATGTTTTTCTTTGATCTTGTTCCATTGTTTTGTTCATTGTAACGCATAGATTATTTACATTTCGCTGCTGGATCCCGAAGTGATGCATATTATTCGCTTACATCAGACTTTAAATAATCAATTTACTTACATCTTATTACCGTTGGCGTTTATTATGAATAAAATTGTGCTTATGAAAAAGAAGATCTTTGGGTCAGGTATTCTTTAATAAAATCATTAAATGTGTAAATTTACAGGGAGTGATTTCATTTACTACAAAACTAGAAGAATCATTTAACATAACGAATCTTAATATTTCTTAACAGTTGGAAGTTGCAACATAGAAGTAATCTCTTGACTCATTCGCGAGCACGATTTCCATATGGTCAGTGCATACTAATATGTTATGGAATGGAATTTTATGGAACCTTATAGATCATAAATGAATGAACGATTTACGACGTTTAATGTTCTTTTCATGGGAGATCTGCGGTTGATATTTTACACTGCCCTTAAAACTCGAGCTAATCAACAACCCGTTAGCGTTAGGGCGCTTTCATGTGCTGTTATCATCAGATCAAGAGCAATATACCTGGGGAGAACAACAACCTTCCGACATATGCCGTGTTAACCTAGATGATACCAGAAAGCAGTTGTACCATTGGTGAGAGAATATCGTACTTCACGACTTACCTGTATTCTGGAATTAGTATGACGTTTAGAGCTCCAGTCGGATCCACTGCGAGCGTTTCTTTCCAGGTTTTTAGGTAAAGTACTCATGAATAATATCCTTCCAATCAGGCAATAGAGAACAGCGGCAATGATGAAGGGAATGACATAAAAAATGATGAGGTCTGTCAAGAAATACACAAGGTAAGACGCGCGATGTAAGCGGAAGTCACACTTTTCAATAGTAAGTCCGTTCAACTGTTGGATAGACTGGACATCTGTAAGCCCTAACCAAGGACAACAATACGTGAGGGTCATCAACCACAGCACCCCTATGATCCTTTTAGCCCGTGACACCGTACAAATAGTTTGGGCCCTCATCGGATGGCATATCGCAATGTAACGCTCGATTGTAAAAGCAGTGATAGACAGCGATGATGCGTTTACACCAACAAACTGGAAAAATATCAAAATGGAACACAAGGCCCTTCCAAAGGGCCATTCGTTAACTTGAAAGAACGGTTCCGGGATGGAAGGTAGAGTTGCTGAAAGCAAGACAATGCAATCAGCCACAGCGAGACTCAGAAGGTAGCAATTGGTCGTGGTATGCATGCTCCTGGTACGTGCAATCACAATCACCACCAATGTGTTGCCAACGAAGCCAACGGTGAACACGATGGCACTTAATGTCGCTGCTATAATCCTAAAATCAGCGGAATAGTACATGGGAAGAGCAAGGGCCTTGGTTGAGTTGGCATCCAGAGACTCATTTTGGTCCATATCCGAGTAGTGGACCGAATAGTCTGTTGGGGTCTGATTATTGAGTAAACTGTGATTAAAGGTCGCCTGGTAGGTGGACCTGGGGACCCCTTCTTCCAATTCCATCACCGAATGCTGGGTAGCTCGCTTACGTTACTGCTATTCATCCTCTGTAGAGAACAGCGATGAACTTCGCTGTGACTATCGAAGTGGCTGGAGTTGAATGAAGGCCTGATCGACGGAACGCTCGCTCTATCTCTCGCTCCCACTCATCGGAGCTGCTAGTGGCTGCATAGCTGGCTACGTCGCGCTGAGAGCTGGAGGTAGACAGCCTTCCTTGAGAGGCCGATCGCGCTGGACGAATCACAAAACATTGGAGGAAGTTATGTGCTGGACGTCTGAAATGCGAGGTATCAAAGGTATTAATTTCAAGATAATAAAACGTAGATGACGGGTTTTCAGATTACTATATTATAAAAACAGCTGCTTTTCCAAGAGGTGGTTCTGGCACTAATTCCGGAACTTGATATAATGGTTAATACTTATTTTGTCGGTATATTTCTTTTCAAAGTGGAAGCTAATTGTATTGATGTCTGTATTAATATATCTTTGTGATCATCAATTATGAATGTTTCTTCTGCGTTTTTTTCCAAATTACCTGTCTAATGCAGTTTCGAGCGTCATCGACCGATGGAAAGATTTATCGCTTTAGGAAATTCTCGACTTAGGTATAGGTTTCTAGTCGTGTCCATAAGACTGAGAATACAAGACAGTTACGCCGAGTTCCTTGTAATTACCGGGGTGTCTATAATCGTTGTACAACATCCGATTAATGGCAGGGTTAGTGGGTATATAGCGTGTGCTACTGTTATAATCTCTGTGGATGCTGTTGGAAATTACGAAGAATAATGTCTGGGAATGACGCATTGTATTTATGTTGTTTGTATAAGCCAATGAGGTATATTTGTTTATTCATCATCATTATTATATTGTCATTGGATACCACTGAACTCTATCTATGTGCTTGTATGTGTGCGTGCGTGTGTGGTCGTGTGCGTTTATGGGGGTGGGTGGGGTGTTTTTTTGTTGTCTGTCTCCCTCTCTGTGCGTGCGTGCGTGTTGTCGTGGGTGCGTGCGTGCGTGCGTGCGCGCGTGTCTATGCCTGTGTCTCTTTTGCGACTGAGGCCTCAGAAATCGTGGGTTCTCATCCCACGTTTGCTCAGTTATTTGGCTTATAAGCTGATACATTGTACACGAAATGAAGTTAAAATCAGCGTTTAACCAAAGTAATTATGACGGAAAGTCTCCAGAAGCGGTTTCAGATGATTCATGTTTAACTTTCACGGGAGATCGATTAACATATGCACAGTATTGGCAAACCGAGTATCATTATCAAAGCAAATCCAGGATATTGATAACAGTCTGGCAAGCTGTAGAGAGGCAGTCAGCTCTCTGTGCCATGTGTTAAGGGGCTAGTGTGATCAAATGACCGATAATTCCCCCGAGGAGGTGAGACAATCCACGCGTTGACATATGAGCCTATTTTATACACACAAACTGCATTAAAATTATAAAAATGTACAACACCTGGCTTTACTCATGCCTGATACTGATATTTTAAATCAATGAAACGATTTTAATGGCCGTTGTTAGTAACTATCCATCCATTGGGATAAAAGTGTCGACACATAATGGGTGCATCCTTTTCATTGTCGCCGTTGTCCCTGGGTGTGGCCATTGTGTAGATTTCTCAACATCTGTTTCAAAACACCACAACGTTGCCACAGATAAAACTGTTATTAAACTCACGACATATAGAGAATTCATCACGAGTGTTTTTAATATGGGAAATATAAACCAAGATGTCGTTAATTGGTAATTGCCGAGCAACAACAACAACAACAACAACAACAACAACAACCAACAACAACAACAATAACAACGATGTTATGTCTTTTGATTAGATGGCAGTTAATTTTTTAAAATATATTTCTTACGATTCAAGAGATTGAGGAAGAACCTTCCGGGATAATTTGCATCCTTATGTCACTAGGGTGTGTAATACCTGTTTTTAAATCCTATATTTTCTCATAGATAAATGTTTTTAGTTAAAAGACGTATAGTGTTATTAACTGCGTTCGTTTTGCACCCGTATACAGATGTGAGGCATACCCATGTTGTCATATTCCGATATTGAATACGGGGCGGTGGGGTAGCCTAGTGGTTAAAGCGTTCGCTCGTTCCGCCGAAGACCCGGGCTCGATTCCCCACATGGGTACAATGTGTGTATTTCTGGTGTCCCCCATCGTGATATTGCTGCAATATTGCTAAAAGCGGCGTAAAACTAACTCACTCACTCCGATTGACTACACATGTATCAGTGTGCGCCAGGATACACTGGTCATTCCCGTCACCTTGTATATTCACTGTTTGAATATCATTTTATTAACAGAGAAGTGTGATATGTATATGGTAGTGTTTATCATTGGCCATGAAACCGTTAACGTGCCTTAAGCTGGTTTAATGACTCAGATATTTAACATGTATAGAGAAGGACGTTAATGCTTAATCTTGATTGTTTATTGGTTTTATCCTGATTGGTTGTTGACTAAAGAGTGTTCGATGTCACCTCTGTGATCCTGACCTCTACCAAAATATATATTCACCTGAAACCGTGAATAAATAACGGGGAGAGTTCTATGGATATACAACTTCTTTATCATTAATGTGAGCGACGTTTCGGTGAAGCAAGTTGTTTGATGGTGTTAGTAGCTACACAGAAGAACTCCCCCCGTTGTTCATCACACCAACTGACCGCCTCCGTGGTGTAGTGGTTAGAGCGTCCGCCCGGAGAGCGGAAAGTCGCGGGTTCGATCCCCGGCCGCGTCATACCAAAAGACGTTAAAATATGGTACTTGTTGGTCCCTGCCTGGCGCTCGGCACTAATGGGTACAACAAGGACTGGTCGGCTCGGAGTCAGTATAATGTGTCTGAGTGTGGTATCTCAGTGGGCTAGCACTATAAAACCAGCTTAAGTCTGGGCTAGTACAAGCAGCCGCACATACACATACACATACACACGCATGCATGTCGTCATATGAGCGAAATATTCTCAAGTACGACGTTAAACCCAATTTCATCTCACCTCACCAACTTCTAAATGCACTAAAAGAAGTCAACCGTGAATAATGATGTATCTGAAGTTGTGTAGCTGACATCTCCAGCTTACAACAACTGTCGAAAAGATATTAATAAAAGAGTGTTTGAAATCTCGTGAGTGTGAATCAGACATGACTGCGGAAGCAGTCATACAGATATGGTATAATCCGACAGGTATATTTGTTATAGTGAGTGAGTGAGTGAGTGAATATGGTTTTACGCAACGCTGATCAATATTCCAGCAATATCACGGCGGGGGAACCAGACATGGGCTTTACACATTGTACCCATGTGAAGGATCGAACCCGGGTCTTCGGCGTGACGGGCGAACGCTTTAACCACTAGGCTACTCCCTCTCCCCTATATTTGTTATAAGTGGATTACTTGTGTAATACGTAAATGAAACTATAGCACATTACGTTCTAGGGATGAGTAGTGTGATCTCGTTATGTTTTCCATGTAACGCCTAAAGGATTGTTTGTTGTTTTACGCCGCACTCAGCAATATTCCAGCTATATGGCGTCCTGTAAAAAGTCGATTCTGGACCAGACAATCCAGTGATGAGCATCATGAGCACCGATCTATGCAATATGATATACGGGGTACGTTGACACATGTCAACTAAGTCAGCGAACCTGACCACCCGATCCCGTTAGTCGCCTCTTACGACAAGCATGGGTTGCTGAAGACCAATTCTAACCCGGATCTTCAATGGTCTCGTCCAATACACTACCGTATTTGAAACAGCAATACAGTACTGTATTGCGATGCGAGGCTCGCAAAACAATACATCTATTTACAAATCCTGTATTGCAATGTACACCATACATTAAACTACAGGTTGTATTGATGTGAACACATGTGGTGAGGTGAGGTGAAATTGGGTTTAACGTCGTGCTCGAGAATATTTCGCTCATATGACGACGTGCATGCGTGTGTATGTGTATGTGCGGCTGCTTGTACTAGCCCAGACTGAAGCTGGTTTTATAGTGCTAGCTCACTGAGATACCATGCCGCAGTGAAGCATGAATACCCCACTCAGACACATTATACTGACTCCGAGCCGACCAGTCCTTGTTGTACCCATTAATGCCGAGCGCCAGGCAGGGACAAACAAGTACCACATTTTAACGCCTTTTGGTATGACGCGGCCGGGGATGTGACCACATGTGAAGTAAACAACAACTCTTCAAGAACGAGTTCATGCCGATTTTCTAGCATTTCTTGGACGGCTATAAACATCGATCAGAACCTACAAAATGCCCAGGGTTTGTTAGTTTCTTCACTGCAATATCCCATCTATGCTATCAGAGATTTAGAGCCAAATGATTCAGGGCTGCGATTCACCTGCAGTGAGTGAGTGAGGTGAGTGAATATTCCAGGTGTATACCGGATCTTCACAAGGAACAAGCATTACCTGCTGAGTTGCGGGTTCAAAACTATCCTTGCATTACGCTATTGAATTTTTACAAATTCCAATTCATCACATGACTGCATAATTGATCCTATTTACGAGGATATTTATGTGGAAGCACAACTGAAACCATAGATCGGAAGAATCCATCCTGCCCTTTCATCGGCCAACATTATCTTGAAACAGGATCTCATCTTGTCTTACTCAACGTTTATGTTCTCCAAGGCAGTTGGTTCAGCTGAAGATAGACATGACATTAGCTGAACTAAAGAAATCTGAACAAAATCCACTCATGTCCACAACAATGTTACCCTTTAAGAAGTATATGCGACACCTATGTCTATGTTGAGATTTGTCATTGGATTCATAGGGATATTGTCAAGATTGCCAGGCACCAGATCTATTTCCACACACGAAGACCCCGGGCCTTTGACGTGACAAGCGAACGCTTTAACCACTAGGCCACCCCAATTTACCTTACCTGAAATATGGGAGAGAATATGAACTTATGAAAAAACACTGTATCGGGAAAGAAATCGTATAGCACCTGTATCATCGGGAAACGTATCATATCGCGGTTTTATCGTATCGGTATACCTCTAAATACTAGTGGTACCGTTATCTCGCCATATCCGACCAGGGACACTGACAGCTGCCATTTTATCTCACCACATTCGTGACTGAAGTGAATCAGCAAATATTTACTTACTGCTGCTGATAGTCCCGACAACAGCAATCCCTGTGTCCTAGGTAGTATAAAATACACGAC